TTCAATATTTTAGAGTCCCCGCCGCGGAGGAGATTCTCCAACACTCTCGGAGTGTAGCGCCCGTAATGCAGGTGACAATTGGAGCGTGTCGATGTGCCCGCCGCTCCACGAGATTCCTATAATGGAATGGATAGAACGTCTTTCCCTATCCAAGTTCCGGTTTCCTCTTATACTGAGATTTGCCCGGGGAACTTTACGCGCCGCCGCGGAATCGTACCGGAAAATCGCTCGCCATCTCCTCGATAAAGATCAGCAACTGTGTTCCTAACCCTTCCGCCATGTGCCGAAGCGATATTCACCCGGCCGTGGAGCGCGCTCGTTGTAGTTTGCGACGGATCGAACCAGTCGACTGGCGAAGTGATTTTAGAATACGATATTACACGTTAAAAAGCAAGATGGAAAAAAAAAAGACAAATCGTTCTCGGATTATGTAGATTTATGCGGATAGAATAATACAAATAGAGCAGTGAAAAAAAATATATAAAAAAAAAAAATGACAGTTGAAATGGAGCGAAGCAAGTCGCGAGAATTATCTTGTATATTGTATACTTTCCGATCAAATTTAGCGATCGTTGACGAGGAAGATCACCAAATTCGTGACAAATCGAGCGTTTTCGGTAATCCCGGGATGAGATCCTTTCCTCTCTCCTCTCGCGATAAAACCGGCTCGGCCGAGAGACCGATGGCACATTGACGCGCTGCACGCGCGTTTGTGATCCTTTACGTAACTTCCCCCCCAATCCCGGAACCATCCATCGTTCAGAAGTTTCCAGGCCGCGGCTGGACGAGTTCTCTCCTCCGGAAAACTTTTCGAAACTCGCAACGACGCGCGAAACCTTACTCCCGATATCCCGCCGACAAGCGGAGATACTCGACGCCATTGCTGGTCGTTCCCAAAAGACGCCGTCGGAGTTAAAGTTCGGAAACTAAAGTCTCTCCCGGAGAGAAAAAAAATTCTCGTTACACCATTTTCCAAAAATCTAGCGCGTGTTGTTTGTTTGTTTGTTTGTTTTTTTTTTTGTTTTTTTTTAAATTAACGTCACATGTACATCTCGTAGCGAGAGAGATGCTTTGCTGAGAGAAGTGCTCGTCGCGTGCGGGAAACTCCAGAATTGCAATTTGATGTGCCGCGGGTTAAGCATGCGCGTTATTAAGCTCTCTAATTAGGAAGCAACAAAAGTCCGTGATCAATCGAGGCTTTCCGCGCGAGCAATCCGCGGTCGCTATTGAAGGCTCGTGAATGGCAGCCGAGCCTGATCTCGCTCAAGTTCTCGTACGTATAAGTCTCGTTCTGCAAATCGAGTAGGACGGAGTGCTAGAAACGGCGGCGGAGGGAAACTATCTCGGTCCGGTCTGGAACTTTCCGCGGAGGCGCAGCAACTATTCGAAGCGAAGCGGAGATGGATTCATACGCATCGAAGTTGGTCAGGTTCGTCGCGCGTGCCACGCGAGTCGCTTCGTGCTCTCGAGAAGCGCGAGGAACACAGAGCGGAAGGGTGAGAGAAAGAGAGGAAGCAAGAGAGAGAGAGAGAGAGAGAGAGAGAGAGAGAGAGAGAGAGAGAGAGAGAGAGAGAGAGAGAGAGAGAGAGAGAGAGAGAGAGAGAGAGAGAGACAGAGAGAGACAGATCCGCCGAGTTCCGGGCCGTCTGATGTCGAATTACATCAAACTGGCATAACACACATCCGGCTCGGCTAGCTGACTGGCGAACTTGCCGCTCTTGAGACTTCGCTCGGAGATTCTCGTCGCTCGCTCGAGAGGAAACGTGGCTGGGGTAATTGCATCTATCCGAGCATACCGTTAGAGACGGCAGATTGCAGACTTGGCCAACTTCGGACCACGATGACGCGAAGATTCGTTCCCTGTCTCCGTCTCTCTCTCTCCCTCTCTCTCTATCTATCTCTTCTCTTTTTCTCCCTCTCTGATTTTACTTCCTTCTTCGCCGAAAATTAGATTGGCGTATAATCAAGACTAAGCCACAATTCTTATGCCAATTCAATGAAAGATCATAAACGTCTTTTTAATCGAAGATTCTTGGAAAGATCGCGAGAGATACGAGACTATATGAGACACCACAACTGACTTAAATTAAAACACTCTTTAGAACTTGTTAATAAAAAAAAATCAGAAAGAACGAACAAACTCAAATGGTCGAAGTCAGATAGACCTCACTTGAGAATTAACCGATTGACGGATAATCGATGGGAATTGTATGATCAATCGACTGTTATCCTCGGTTTGCGGAACCTTCCCAATACCCGTGGATATTCCTTCCTTCGCGCTGGAAGGAGGATACCTATACCGATTTCCATAAGCGACGTCCGGCAGAGACGTTTAAACGACGCCAGGCCAAACGCGGGTAATCCACCGTCAAAGCGCACGCGAGCAGACGATCCAATAAACGATCGACAGTGGAACGTTCCTTTGACGTGTGTTCATACATGGCTAGACGAGTCCTCCTTTTGGCGGACCGTCGTCGCAAGGCTGACAGGAGAGAACCGACTTGTCGTCGGACAAGTAAGAACATGCGGGTCAGTGTATATACACGTATACGCGCGCGCGCGCGCGCGTGTGTGTACATATACGTACACACTTGCCTACGCACTGTACATCGAACTCCGAGAACACACACTCGCTTCGGGTGAGGGCAATGTGGTCGCAATTTATGAGCATTTCCTCTGTACATCTACAATCGCTCAGAGAGGAGAAGGAGGAGATGTGTATTAGCTCTCACACGTGCAGGACATGTGCACGAACACACGGATGCGCGTTTCCTCCTTACCACCACGTGAGCGTAGACTTTGCGCGAGGAGAGAAGCCCGCGGAGGGAAAATCCTTTGGCCAGCGAAGCTTGGATAATCGCGCTCCGAGCTATAGACGCGGCTTCGCTTGTCGCGGTGGTAAGGGCGACGGTGAGGAAGCGGGCGAGAAGGGGGGAGAAAGCTTTGCTGCAATCGCAGCTTGCCCATCCACGTGGAAATCATAGCTCGCTGCGGGAGTCATCGGGACTCGAAATTGTCCGGAAACGCTTGCCGGAGCTGTTCTCGGCGGAGTCTTCTTTTCTCTTTCTAAAGCGTGGAATGAGAAATAGAGCAAGAAGGAGAGAGAAAGAAAGAGAGAGAGAGAGAGAGAGGAGAGAGTACGAAAGGCCAGTCCGGACTGCCTCTTTGGGGAGTTGGACGTAAAGAGACCTCTCGAAAGATTGTCCTCAGACAATCTCTTTGTAATTTGATGGCAACGTTTGGAACGAAGCGCTGTGTTGATTGAACGCGGGGTCAAAATCTCATGCGTATTTAAAACCGCAACTTCGTCGCAGAAAAATAAACGTGCAAAACAAAACACGTGTTTGCAACGTGATCCAGAATGCCGCGAAAAAACTTTTATACACACACGTGTGAGTTGTCGATCGCGCGACAAGTGTGCGCGTCTGTTTCGATTTCTCGAGAATGCACAAATGTAAATGTTCTTCGTCGCTCTGCCGCGCGTATTTTGTCTGAAATGTCTCACGGTATATATCTATCGGATGAATTCGAGAATGATCCTCTTAGAGGTCAGAGACCACGGCGCACGGAAGTGCCATATCGCGGAATCTGCCGACGAGCAGCGGCGGCAGCAACCGAGCTCGAGGTTTGCAGACGACTCTCGCACGGGAATGGTATTGGATGTCATCACGAGAGAGATTACGTGCGGCTTTGAAAGAGCTTCCTATCTCACTTCCACTTCCATTTGTCCTTCTTCCTCCCGCCCTCCACCATCCGTCGTCCAGCGCGTTGCTATTTCAGTTACTCCCTAGCCTCAACGTTCGCACCGGGACGTGCGATATGCGGACGCATCTTGACGCTCCCACCCCGACCGCGTTTGCAGCAACTCTCTCACTTGAGGATGAAAGGAAACCCTCACCTCGGCGAAGGCACCGAAGGAAAAGTCGTAGTCCCATTTGCCTCTATTTTTCATAAGCGATATTAGAATCTATCACTCGAAGCAGACGCTCTTGCCACTGCTCTAGAAGACCGAGAGCTATGGGGAAGGAGGGGTGTGGTGGAATATCGATAAAAAAGATAAAGAGACTCTCCTCTCTCTCGATTATCGGAGGGGTGGGTTGCTCCGATCGCTGACGATTATCGACCCTATTCAAGCGGACGAATGTGAACGGATCCCGGACTCTCGCGGGATCGCAAGCGGACCTGCCGCGCTCACGATAGAGAAAGATGGAGCGAGCTAAGAGAGTCGAGAGCTTGTGCGCGCCCTATATATATATTATCCTATATATTATCACGGCCACGCGATATTTCATTCATCGCGACCTCTCGATCTTTTCCACCCTTTTCTTCATTGCCGAGTCGATTTTCAATTGAGCATGCGCTCCTAGTTCTTTGATCTTAATAACGTTTTTTCCCGCACACATCTGAAGAACTCGCAATCTCTCATAATTCCTTGATCCCGTTATCACAAGATGAATTAATTGTGTTCGGACAGTCCGTCGACTATCGCGAAAATCGCGAATTTCTCAAGATGAGATACACCGCAAGCAGGTGATATAAAAATAACGAAGTTACACGATATTTTAACTTTTGTAAAACGCAATTTGAAATCGTGTTTCTCACGGAGATGTCCTGGATTTGTTTTTTGTTTTTGATCACGTATTATTCCTCGATGTACTTCGCGTTATAATTTCTTGTTCGCAGTCATCGAGCTAGCGAAATACCTTCACAATTTGTCTAATTTTGCGCGCGCGCGCGTGCGCAACATCGTCGAATTTATGTTATTTATCTTTCCTTCGTATTTACCGGAGCTCGCGATTTACCATGATTATAGCTTCAACTCCGCTCGTTAATTACCTCACGTATTACCTCACAGTGGAATAGCGACATTATTGACTCGTTAAATAGGATAGTCTCTGCCATAATTCCGCTACCGTTTGTACGTGGCGAAGGCGGCGCAACGATTCTTCAATTATTCGCGCAATGTGTCGCGAAGCAAAAATAAAGTAAATTCAACTCACCTCTATGCCTATTGGTTTGCTTGTCGAACATCAGCATGGCATCCTCGATCTGAAATACAAATAAATTTTTCGTCAGCGAGATACTTTTTTAATTCAAATAAAAATTCTCGAAATGTAAATTTAAAAAGCAATTTGAAAAATTCTTAAAATTCCAAAATGCCCTCAAAACACATTTCTAACTCGTGTAACAACGACATTGCGTGTAATTATTCCATGTATAATAATTATATATTGCGAATATAAATTAATTAACTCTGTGTGCGTGCGTTTGATTAATTATATGGTCGTATAACAATGACTGTGTCACTGTAATGTTGATCGTAATATTCAAGTACATGAGCAGCTTGAGTTGAATGACAAACATAATCTTTTGTATTCTTACGAAGAATATGTCGTATAAAACACAGCTGGCCAGAGATTTAGGGAAACATGTTGCTGAGAAACACTAAACCAAGGGGGAACGGGTATAACGTCCAGAATGACGGGGTTGGACAACTCTGCGTTGTATATGGTTGAAGTGTGAGTGAAGCTCACTCGGAAGAGACGTAGGAAGAGCCAGTAGGATTTATAGGACAAGAGAAACAATAGAGATTATCCTTATCCCCTTTGTCGTTTCATGAGTTTCGCCTCCCTCTCACTTTCTCGCGCGCCAGCAACTATTGATATAGTTCGCGAAACAGTGCAAATTATTATTATTATTATTTTTTTTTTTTTTTTTTTTTTTTTAAGTAACATGTACGCGTGCGTGAAGAAATTCTATTTTTGTTATATAAATATATATATATATTTTTAGAGAAATGTCAGGGAAATCGAGTATCATAGGGTAACATTTGTTGCGACTTTTGTTCTTCTCGTGAACCGGCGTACCTTTTACGACAGGAAGTTGACGGCAGAGCGAGAAAACGACGGCCAGAGCGAGGGAACGGGACGAGCTTTTAATGAAAACGCAAGAGGCGTCACGGCGTACAAGACCGCCACCACCGGTGAGACCTTCGTTCGTTCGTTCGTTCGTTCGTTGCTTATGCTTTCTCGCCGTCTCTTCTCGCACAAAGTACGTGTCTTTTCATTATTTCTTAATATTGCGGCTGTTATACTGATGTATTCTCACCGGTTGAATCAATTCGCGTGTCTCTTTCTTCAAACGTTACGAATTCCCGCATTACTGACAGCGAGAATAGATAGAAAACGAGATATCCGCAACTTCAATCATACTCTTGACACAGATCTACATCTTTTACGCGCTCGCGTCTCTTTGTTTGTTATAATTAGCGATTTCAAGCTCTTTACTCCTATTTACTATCGCGTCATCAATTATACGCTTTTTTTTTTTTTTTTGCGTGTTTCCCCTTTTTCAACGACGAGAAAACAAACTCCGGCAAATGGCAAATTTCTCTTTATTTCTCGAATAATTATCGCGCGCGGATCGCGCAATGCAGTTTTGCGGGGTTTCGCGTATATTCGTTGCGCGAGTACGGATATCTATTTCCCGCGATATGTAATATTCAGCGCTCGGCGCATTATGCATCCCATGTATTTACTTCATTAAAAATACATTGGCCGGATGTGTTTAATATTGATTCTATATAAATTAATATAATTATCGTACGGTGCGTCGCACGGTAACATCGAGCACGAGAAATAACTGAATATGTTGTACAAAACGCTTGTTATCTCACTCTGTCGTTCACGTGTGAGATAATTTTATGCGCAATAAATTTTTTATTTCTTTCCCCAATGTAATTTCAATATTATTGTGTCGCTCTTTCTTAATAAACTCTCTATAGGGATTTCCATTTCTTGATATTCCGCTCTTGGCAAAGCGATGCCAATTCGTTTTACAAACAAAAAGAAAACAATCACATTTGTCAAGACGAGAGAACAAACAAAAAACAAACAAATAAAAAAGTTTGGTGCATACGCGCAGATTAAAATATGTCGATGATGAAGCACAATTTGTCGCAAGCAAATGGTGATGGAACCGGAGAATGTAACGCAAAGTGGCTTTCCGAAATTTCTTTCTTTTTCGCTTAAGTTTGGAGAAAATACGTACTGCTGTAAGATTATTGAAGAGAAAACGGAGGAAGAAGAAAAAAAATAGACAAGAGAAAGAAAGAGAGAGAGAGAGAGAAGGCGAGAGAAAGACAGAAGTCAGCGGCGGCGGTGGCGTCGTCGTCCCCGGAGGGCAATCGAGTTCTGGTGAGTGGGCGAGACGTACCTTATTACAAGTTCGATTCCACCGGTGTTACAGCTCTCGGTGGACCGAACTGTAGATTGCTGTCTTACTGCCCTCGTCCTTTATATCGTGAGTCCTTCCCTCGTCTCTCTCCGAGAGGCAAGACCGTGTCATTTCCTACCGTTCTTTCCCTCGATATCCCCTCCGTTAGATTTGTATTGACGCGCTCACTTTAGTCTTTCCGTTTGACCAACTAATTTAAAGGGGACGCGTAAAACTGGGGCAGCAGGACGTCTTTGCGCTTTTTATACTCGATTCTCCCAAGATGCAATGCCAACAAAGTCTCTTTTTTTTTTTTTTTTTTTTTTT